CCTTAGGACTCGGTCTGATCACTATGAATTTGTAGGTGTGTCTTTTGGCTCACGAATGCTCTGCAACTTTTATGGACTTAATGAACAGGGTGTTCAAACAGTATTTGGACTTGTTCGTCGTCATCTTTATTGATGATATCCTCATTTATTCTCAGAGTGAGGAAGAGTGTGTGTTTGATTTGAGAGTTGTTCTGCAAACCCTCCAAGATCGCCAACTATTTTCTAAGTTCAACAAATATGAATTGTGGTTACAGCCGGTCGCTTTCCTTGGTCATGTGGTATCCAATGAAGGGATTCGAGTGGATTCTCATAAATTTGAGGCAGTACAACACTGTACCAGTCCATCTCTCTAACAAATATCATGAGTTTCTTGGGTTTGGCAGGTTACTACATAAGGTTTGTTGAAGGATTTTCATCCATAGCTTCCCCATTAACCAAGTGGACTTAGAAGAAGGTTAAGTTTCAATGGTCAGTTGAGTATGAGAAAAACTTCTTAGAACCAAAGACTAGGTTGACTACAACTCCAATCTTGACTCTACCAGATGGTTCAGACGGTTATGTTATTTATTGTGATGCATCCAGGGTAGGCCTAGGTTGTAGGTTTATATAACAAGGTAAGGTCATAACTTATGCTTTTAGACATCATAAGTTCAATGAGAAGAACTACCTGACTCATGACCTCGAGCTTGCAGCCGTAGTGTTTGCCCTAAAGATTTGGAGACACTACTTGTATGGTGTTCATGTTGATGTGTTCATAGATCATAAGAGCCTCCCGTATGTGTTCACACAGAAATAGTTGAATCTTCGTCAGAGGAGATGACTTGAATTCCTCAAAGACTATGACATGAATGTGCTCTACCTTCCGGGTAGGGCCAATGTAGTAGCTGACGCCCTTAACAGACTATCCATGGGCAGTGTGGCACATGTTGAGGAAGAAAAGAAGGAATTATCCAAAGATGTTCACCATCTTGATCGCTTAGGAGTTTGCCTTTTGTACTCGTCAGATGGTGGTGTGATAGTTAAGAACATGTCAGAATCTTTATTGGTATCGGAGGTTAAGGAGAAACAAGACAGTGATCCCATACTGCTTCAGTTAAAAGGTGTAGTTCATCAATAGAGAGTTAAGGTGTTCTCCCAAGGGGGAAATGGTGTGCTTCGTTACTAGGATCGCTTATATGTTTAAAATGTGGGTGAGTTGAGGCACCTGATCCTTACAAAATCCCATAATTCCAAATATTATACTCATCCAGGTGCCACTAAGATGTACTGTAGTCTACGAGAAGTCTATTGGTGGAACAACATGAAAATAGACATTGCAGATTTTTTGGCTAAGTGTCCTAACTGTCAAAAGGTTAAAGTAGAATATCAGAAACCAGGAAGTGTGACTAAGGAGATTAGCATTCCTACGTGGAAGTGGGAAGTGATAAAGATGGATTTTATTACGGGTATACCTCGTACTCACGGACAACATGACTCCATTTGGTGGATAGAGTCACTAAGTCAGCTCACTTCTTGGCAGTCAAGACTATAGATTCAACGGAGGATAACACAAGACTCTACATCAATGAGTTAGTCCGGTTGCGTGGGGTTCCCTTGTCTATCATCTCAGATAAGGGTCCTCAGTTTACCTCTCATTTCTAGAAATTATTACATAAAGGTCTTGGTACTCAAGTAAATCTCAGTACAACATTTCATCCGCAGCCGGATGGTAAGGTAGAGTGTACCATTCAGACCTTAGAGGACATGCTGAGAGCTTGCGTGGTCGATTTCAATTGTTGTTGGAATGATCACTTCATCCAATACTAAGCGTCAATGATCGTTAAGTAGTTATATAACCTAACTAAGTGAGTTGGGGTCGAGTCCCAGGGGAGTGGTACGTATTTGAGAATCAATAGGAAATTATGAATATGCTCAAGTCAATTATAGCTAAAAACATTTACGAGTAAAAGCATGGTTCAAGTTAGGGGTGACATAAGTGTCAAATATCAGGGGGATTTGGTTTCAACTATCATCTACAACAACAAATAACACGAAAATAGCAAGTATATAGACGGGTTCTTGGGACGTGATTGGATTATGGGCTAAGGTAGACAATTGGGTGATTGCAATTAATAGTGAATAGCTGTAAATTAGTGAATAAGCTAGACTTTAGTGGGGATAAATTTTCTCTCGAACAATTTACCCCGAATCAAATTAATTTCTCTCGAACACCAATAAGCAACAATTAAGAACAACCTACGCTTTAGTCCATTTACTCTCTCAAGCTGAATGTGTGGAAAAAGGTTTACGGTTCACTCTCTCGAGTTGAACCCATGACAACCCAATACCCACAGACCATCAAATCAGTAATCTTGATTTTTAAAACCTCTCTCTTGAGCAAGCCAAAAACACGAAGGTAGAGTTGCATTTGCAATTTCAACCCTTTTAGATTAAGCCATAATTACTGAATGAAATCACTTTTAAACTACATTTTGCACTATCAATTAACAATACCCAGCAGCTAAATCAATCCATAATCACATATCACACCCCATGAATTGGGGTTTTAGCTAGACATCATCAAAAGGTAAAAATCGTTACCAAATTGTGTTTCCATCAACTGGGTAAGATTGATATTGTCTTTACAAAGGTCTAAGATGAAGAATCTTCAACACCCACTTCTAATTTCTTAGAAATGGAAATCTTCAAATCTTCAAAGCTAAGGAAATATTGTCTCTAAACTCAGTTCTAAGCTCTCAAACTTGAAAACTGAATAATAATGAAAACTATTGAATGTTAGATACTAAACTAAGAATTTAAAAAAATGTATTTATAGTTGCAAAAAATGTGCTGTGAAGGACCATTCGGCGCAATAAGTCGGGATCGCCGATCCACTCGGCTATCCCCCCTTTGGTCAATTCCATTGCCTTTTTGCTTTGGTCTTCAACATCTTCAGGTTTTGTACTTTAGGCGATATGGCAATGCATCGCGGAACCGTTCGACGACTAACCGACTACTCCTTTCTATCACCGACTTGATTTTCTCCTTCAGGGATCGGCACACTGGAATATTAGGTGAGACAATGGCCATTCGGCGACTCGCCCAATGGATTAGGGGATCCTCTGGCTTTCTTTTCTTCGTTCTTTCAGCTGCCTTGTTCCTTTTTGCTCATTAGTGTCAATACTTTGTTCCTTAATCCAAATACCTGAAAATCAAGGATTTACATTAGTTATTGGCACAAAATATTCATTTGAAGACACTAAATCTATTAAAATGAAATGAGTCCAAGTCGTGGACTCATCAACACCTCCAATTTAAACTTTTGCTTGTCCTCAAGTAAAACTCAAGTTCAGCAGTTTGAAATGGATGTCTCAAACAGTGCTACACAAGACTCAATCATGAATGCACACAAGAAGACTCAACTTACTCATGCAAATATCAATTGTGCACTCAAAGATTCAAGTTGTGACTTACCATTATCAAAGAATCTCAAGCTCACAATACTTGCTTTAAATGCAAGTTCAAGCTCAACAAAGGTAATCAAATGCCCTCACACAAAGAATGATTCCATATTCACACACAATGGTTCACAATTTTAAAGCTCCGGAATCAAATGCAACGCTCATATTCACAAAGATGAACACAGTGCATGACTTCACCTATAGGTTTGCCCGAATTTTCTAATCAACCCTTGTTTCAGCTCACTCAAGATCAGAAAGGTCTTTTCAAGGCTTGTAACGAGGCTGAGTGCAAATGTATGGTCATTTAGGCTCAATGGCTATAATCCTCATGACATGTGGTGTGAACAACACTTTATTTCCTTTTCTTCATCATTCTCATTCGTGCTCAAAAGTCACCCCATTATTCATCTTCCATGGATTGCTTGGACACCCCATTTTCTTTGCACTTTTCACAACTTTATTCCACAATTTTTTCATTCTTTTTCTTTTTCATTCTTTTCTTCTTTTTATTTTTTTTTATATGGAAGGGTTTCATTTTTCTCAAAACCATGGGTCAAAGGGGACTTTTTTGCACTTCTTGATTTACCTTTTCTTTTCACCACACCCCCAACTTAGGCTTTTGGCCTAATTTGGCTATTCAAACAAACTACAAATCATGAGGATTATGGGTAATAGGTCAAGAAAGGTCACAATTTTATCAAGTTTCTTCCAACAAAAGGCTAAGGCTCAAAGGGTGTTCAAACGGGGTTCACACACTCACAAGGTAGGCCACAAAAGAGGTATGATGTCATATTATTTTACACTCTTCAAAGTTGCCGATCATATCAAGAGATTGCATCACTTAATCAACCGGACCAACGGGGCAAATTCTAGGTGTCATTATACATGGTTCATGGTAAGCTCATCACACAAGGCATAGACACCAATGTCAAACAAGACTCCACACTTTCGCTAGTGTGCAATGTTCATCACAAGAGACTCAATTCGATACTTGGCTAGTCACAATGAGATGCAAAAAGTTCACATATTGTCTATGCAACTTCATTTGGCCTTATCGTAGCCGCACATTCACTTTTGTTCTATTATGAGCACTATTCAAGTCATTGGTATTGATCAAGATCGATACTCAAATTTTCAAGAGACAACCACATTCAAACACAAACATGAGGTGGCACAATTTTTTTGGAAGGGTCCAAAAATAATTTACAATTAAAAGCAAGGAGCCACAAGCTCAATCATCCACAAAAATAGTGTAACACACAATTATAGCTCAAAATCATATACACAAAACAAGAGAGTCACAAAAGGTGGGCCTCACCCCACCACAAATAAAATCATTTGTCCTCAAATGCAAGCAAAAATTTCAAAAAGTCAAAATAAAGTAAGACAGAGAGGGAGGTAAAGAAGGGATCCTGTCTACTCCGTCACTCCATCTGTCTAGGCATCATTGCCCGGTGCATCAATCTGGACTTGGGCATCAGTGCTCGAAGTCACCTCATAAGGACCTGATCCACTAGAAGATACCATGGACGTCTCTGTCAGCGATTCCTGGATCACTGACTACACAATTGTCTCCTCAAGATCTGGAAAATCTCCGTATATGATCTCTTCCCGTATCTCTATCTGCTCCTCATTGATCTCTGCATCTGACTCATCAACTGCTACATCATCCCTATGCAAGTCTTTGGTGGTAGCCGGAGGAATCTCTGAATTCTCAGGAGCGTCCAAATTATCTGCAGCCTCTAGTAATGAAGTGAAGTCAGTAGACTTTAGATAGTCTATGTCCTTCCTCAAATTTGCTACTTTGGCTTTCAAAGCCGTCACCTTGGAGGTCTCCCTCTGCTTGCTCTCACAAGCCTCTACTCTCGTGGTGAGAGTGTCAATAGAAGTCTGGAGGGGGGTCAGTGCAGCCAAAATAGCAGCGTCAATCATTCATGGGTCTCAAGTCGGGTCACCCTCACGTCAGTTAAATGGGCCAGATGCCCCATATTTGGGAGCATAGCCTGAGTGATCCTGGTGGGCTGGGCATAGGTAGTAGTACTCGGGGCCTGTGAAAATGAAGAAGGTGCAGATGTACATGAAGGCCCAGAGGCTGGAGTAGGAAAAGATGCCTCTGCAGGTATCAAATCAATATCTACCTTCGAGGATGTATCCACCGAAGCTGCCCTCCTCCTATCAGCCTCCTCTCATGTGTACTCGGCCTTAATATGCCAGATGTCATTGGAGGAGGAAGGTGCCACCTTAATGTCTCTCGTATCGTCCCGGGGTACTCCGGCACGCCGACACAACAACGTCATCAGGACCAGGAATGGCAAGGAGGTCTGCCTCTGCTTGTCCTTCATGGAAAGGAGGTCTTGTCACGCCTCAGATCTGATTAAGACGGACAGGCACCCGATGTCTAAATGTCCCGGGAGAACCAACTTAAAACCTGTACTTACC